AAGGGGGATATGATCTCCATTTATAATACATAAGGGGGGATATGATCTCCATGTATAATACATAAGGGGGGGTATGATCACCATGTATAATACATAAGGGGGGTATGATCTCCATGTATAATACATAAGGGGGATATGATCGCCTTGTATAATACATAAGGGGGGATATGATCTCCATGTATAATACATAAGGGGGGATATGATCTCCATGTATAATACATAAGGGGGGATATGATCTCCATGTATAATACATAAGGGGGGGATATGATCTCCATGTATAATACATAAGGAGGGGATATGATCTCCATGTATTAATACATAAGGGGGGGGATATGATCTCTATGTATAATACATAAGGGGGGGATATTATCACCATGTACAATACATAAGAGGGGATATGATCTCCATGTATAAATACATAAGGGGGGGGATATGATCACCATGTATAATACATAAGGGGGGATATGATCTCCATGCATTATACAAATGGGGGGGATATAATCACCATGTATAATACATAAGGGGGGATATGATCTCCATGTATAATACATAAGGGGGATATGATCTCCATGTATAATACATAAGGGGTATATGATCTCCATATATAATACATAAGGGGGGGATATTATCTCCATGTATAATACATAAGGGGGGGATATGATCACCATGTATAATACATAAGGGGGATATGATCTCCATGTATAATACATAAGGGGGGATATGATTTCCATGTATAATACATAAGGGGGGATATGATCTCCATGTATAATACATAAGGGGGGGGATATGATCACCATGTATAATACATAAGGGGGATATGATCTCCATGCATTGTACAAATGGGGGGGATATAATCACCATGTATAATACATCAGTGGTTCATATAGTGAACTCGGTGTAGATATTCACCCTGAGGTCATCACAGAGGACAAGGGGGCGCTCTTTTACATCTGGAGGAAACACAGAAAGGATTCTTCACAGTTTCCTCCCCAATCCCCCCTCCTAGCACATATTTTCCCCTCCTAGCACATATTTCCCCCACTAATCCCCTTTCTTGTCCCGGCCCTAAGTGTGGGAATGAAGGAAGGAGGCAGAGCTCTGTAGGCCAGGTACAGTGTAAATGGTGAGGCCAGCAATGGTGTCACCCCTCTGGCAGGTTTCACCCTGGTGCGGTCCACACCCCCATAGTGACACCACTGGACACAGCTTCTGTTCTCAATATGACATCCATGTAGGTGCGGGTGCACGTCCCTGAATTCCCACCGTCTGAGCTCAGGACTGTGCATCCACACTTACATGGATGTCAGGATTCGGAGATCGGGAGAAGCTTCTGTGACTGTACAGTCACTGCATCCCAATGGAACAGGACTGACTGCACAGGAATGAACAGAACACATGTGCGCCCCATGGCTCTTACATGGACATTACACTCTACTATGCCCCAAGTGAATGAGGCCTTAGGAAGAGTTTAACAGGAATTTTGTAAGTTAGGTTGTGTTTATGTGTGCTAATAATGATTTTAGGGTATTTGTGTGTGAAAACGATGATTCCATAAACATTTGCGCAACTATTTAAGGGCCTATAAAAATCAATATTCCAGGATTGTACTAGAGGTTAGTCTGTCCCCAGTACAATCACAAATTGTAGGGGGGGGGGGCCAAAAACTGACCTGGGAGGATAATACTGCTGGACAGACGGACCTGGGGTGATTATATTGGGGGGACAGATTGGCCTGGGGGGTATGGGTAAGAATTATACTGCAGGAGATTAGATCTGGGAGGGTATTGTACTGGGGGACAGACTGACTGGGGGGGGGGATTTATACTGGGGACAGACTGACCTTGGGGAAGGATTACACAGGGGGATAGAATGACATGGGAGGGTATTGTACTGGGGGGACAGACTAACTGGGGGGGAGAGGGGATTATATTGGGGACAGATTGACCTTGGGGAAGATTATACAGGGGGACAGACTGACTGGGGGGGGATTATACTGGGGACAGACTGACCTTGGAGAAGGATTATACAGGGGGATAGACTGATATGGAAGGGTATTGTACTAGGGGACAGACTGACTGGGGGGGATTATACTGGGGACAGACTGACCTTGGGGAAGGATTATACAGGGGGATAGACTGACATGGGAGGGTATTGTACTAGGGGACAGACTGACTGTGGGGGGGATTATACTGGGGACAGACTGACCTTGGGGAAGATTATACAGGGGGATAGACTGACATGGGAGGATATTGTACTGGGGGACAGACTGACTGGGGGGGGGGGATTACACTGGGGACAGACTGACCTTGGGGAAGGATTATAAAGGGGGATAGACTGACATGGGAGGTATTGAACTGGGGGACAGACTAACTGGGGGGGGGGATTATACTGGGGACAGACTGACCTTGGGGAAGGATTATAAAGGGGGATAGACTGACATGGGAGGGTATTGTACTGGGGGACAGACTGACTGGGGGGGGGGGATTATACTGGGGACAGACTGACCTTGGGGAAGGATTATACAGGGGGATAGACTGACAAGGGTGGGGGTATTGTACAGGGGCACAGACTTATGTTGTTTTATTTAACCAAGCCCTTAAGTCCCTCCCACCATAAACACAATTAGGACACAGTCACAGTTTACAGTGGCACACTGCGCACCCCATTAGTCTTCTATTTGTTGTGCCCAAAGATGCCTCAAGTCTTTAAAACTCCTAGCAATGCTGTGGGCACAATGAAAACCATTCTCACTCTTTGCTGTGCTGCACTAAGCTCTCTACTTTGTAAAAAAATTAAAACAAATGGGGCCCAACTTAGGATCTTGCACTGTGGCTCATTGATTTCATAAAACGGCCCTGTGTGGGGGTAATGTGAAGGTGGGCAGAAGAGATTACTGTGGGGGGTAATGTGAAGGTGGGTAGAGGAGATTACTGTGGAGGGTGATGTGAAGGTGGGTAGAAGAGATTACTGTGGGGGGTGATGTGAAGGTGGGTAGAAGAGATTACTGTGGGGGGTGATGTGAAGGTGGGTAGAAGAGATTACTGTAGGGGGGGTAATGTGAAGGTGGGCAGAAGAGATTACTGTGGGGGGTGATGTGAAGGTGGGCAGAAGAGATTACTGTGGGGGGTAATGTGAAGGTGGACAGAAGAGATTACTGTGGGGGGGTAATGTGAAGGTGGGCAGAAGAGATTACTGTGGGGGGTGATGTGAAGGTGGGCAGAAGAGATTACTGTAGGGGGGGTAATGTGAAGGTGGGTAGAAGAGATTACTGTGGGGGGTGATGTGAAGGTGGGCAGAAGAGATTACTGTAGGGGGGGTAATGTGAAGGTGGGCAGAAGAGATTACTGTGGGGGGTAATGTGAAGGTGGGCAGAAGAGATTACTGTGGGGGGTGATGTGAAGGTGGGTAGAGGAGATTACTGTAGGGGGGGGGGGGGTAATGTGAAGGTGGGCAGAAGAGATTACTGTAGGGGGGGGGGGTAATGTGAAGGTGGGCAGAAGAGATTACTGTGGGGGGTAATGTGAAGGTGGGCAGAAGAGATTACTGTGGGGGGTGATGTGAAGGTGGGCAGAAGAGATTACTGTAGGGGGGGTAATGTGAAGGTGGGTAGAAGAGATTACTGTGGGGGGTGATGTGAAGGTGGGCAGAAGAGATTACTGTAGGGGGGGTAATGTGAAGGTGGGCAGAAGAGATTACTGTGGGGGGTAATGTGAAGGTGGGCAGAAGAGATTACTGTGGGGGGTGATGTGAAGGTGGGTAGAGGAGATTACTGTAGGGGGGGGGGGGGTAATGTGAAGGTGGGCAGAAGAGATTACTGTAGGGGGGGGGGGGGTAAGGTAATGTGAAGGTGGGCAGAAGAGATTACTGTGGGGGGTAATGTGAAGGTGGGCAGAAGAGATTACTGTGGGGGGTGATGTGAAGGTGGGTAGAAGAGATTACTGTGGGGGGTGATGTGAAGGTGGGTAGAAGAGATTACTGTGGGGGGTGATGTGAAGGTGGGCAGAAGAGATTACTGTGGGGAGTAATGTGAAGGTGGGTAGAAGAGATTACTGTAGGGGGGGTAATGTGAAGGTGGGAAGAAGAGATTACTGTGGGGGGTGATGTGAAGGTGGGAAGAAGAGACTACTGTAGGGGGGGATGTGAAGGTGGGCAGAAGAGATTACTGTGGGGGGTGATGTGAAGGTGGGCAGAAGAGATTACTGTGGGGGGTAATGTGAAGGTGGGCAGAAGAGATTACTGTGGGGGGTGATGTGAAGGTGGGCAGAAGAGATTACTGTAGGGGGGTGATGTGAAGGTGGGTAGAGGAGATTACTGTGGGGGGTAATGTGAAGGTGGGCAGAAGAGATTACTGTGGGGGGTGATGTGAAGGTGGGCAGAAGAGATAACTGTAGGGGGGGGTAATGTGAAGGTGGGTAGAGGAGATTACTGTGGGGGGTGATGTGAAGGTGGGCAGAAGAGATTACTATGGGGGGTGATGTGAAGGTGGGTAGCAGAGATTACTGTGGGGGGTAATGTGAAGGTGGGTAGAAGAGATTACTGTGGGGGGTGATGTGAAGGTGGGCAGAAGAGATTACTGTGGGGGGGGGGGGGTAATGTGAAGGTGGGTAGAAGAGTTTACTGTGGGGGGTGATGTGAAGAGAGCAGAGGAAACAACTGTGACACACTATGTGTTCTTCATGCTGTCTTTTTATTGGGGCCTAATAGATATTTAATGGGTGCCTCACAGCAGGGATCTTTGATCTCTTCCATGTCGATCTGCTACTCTTCAACGTTGCATACCCCTGGCCCTTAATGTGGTCGATGTCATCCCAGCTGTGGAGAGCAGGGAAGGGAGATCTGGTGATGAAGCATGGCAGGGTAAAGGACTACAAGAACACTGCAGAGGATGCGGCTGGCTCTTGTTACAGGCAGATTGAATCCTTGGCAGAAATACAGGCGATGGTAGTTAGTAATGAAGTGGGCACAACTTTTTGTTCAACATAGAGCCAATCATTTATTCATCAAGATCCATCTCTGTTTCTCATTTTAGCGGAGGATAAACTCCGGTAAACTATTTTCCTAACAGCAGTTTTTACTTCCTGATTTCGAAGGCTGTAAATAAATGGATTCAACAGAGGAGCAATAACAGTGTACATAACAGCAACCAACTTGTCCTCATCCTTTCCATAACTTGATTTGGGCCTCAAGTACATAAAGAAGACTGAGCCATAAAAGATTGTGACCACTATGAGGTGAGAAGTACAGGTTGAGAAGGCTTTCTTCCTCTGGGACATTGAACTAATGTTCAGGATTGTTGATATTATTTTAGCGTAAGAGATTATCGTCAATATAAGTGAACCAGAAGTCATCCCACCACCAAAGATGAACACGATAAGTTCATTGAGCCATGTGTCCTTGCAGGCCAACTTTAATAACACGGGGACATCACAAAAGAAGCTGTTCAGTTTATGAGAACTGCAGAACGGGACTGAGAAGGTGAATATAGTGTGGATTAAAGCATTTGATGCTCCAATAAGCCAAGATCCGGCAATGAGTTGAGTGCAAGTTTTCTTGTTCATAATGATGGTGTATAAAAGTGGTTGACATATGGCATTATATCGGTCATACGACATGGTTGCAAGAATGTAGAACTCAGTGCCGGCCAAAAACAAGACGCAGTACAACTGAGCAGCGCATCCGTAGAAAGAGATCCATTTATATTCCGATAGGAGATCTGATAACATTTTGGGAGAAGTTGATGAAATGTAAAAGATTTCTAAAACAGAAAAATTAGCCAGAAAGAAATACATGGGCTTCTGGAGGGTGGGGCTTAATTTATAGATCAGTATGATGAAGATGTTTCCAGCCAATGTAATTATGTACATACAAAAGAAGATAATAAAAAGAAAAATTTTAACTTCAGGAATCCCAGAAATTCCTGCGAGGTAAAAAAACCTGCCTTTAAACTGTGAGTTTCATTAGTCATGGTTGCCTTTTCTTCTGAGAAGGTAGAAGAGAAAAAACATATAACAATTACATGCCTAAACATTAGATATCATAAACCTATGTATTTCGGGTCAGTAGCTGTACATTGACTCCCCTCAGGGCCAAACCAATGAAAAGCCAAGGGAGAAGCCCCCTGTGATAGGAGTAGAGGGCACAGCTGGGGCAGGAGCCTCTCCTGGATTTACATTGCCAGGACTATCTGCTTTGCTCTGCAGGACTAGATGGTTAAAATGACAGCTCAACCCTTTCCTTTACACCGTGAGAGCACACACAGTTCACACAACTCTCATCCAGGATTCACACACTTTTCTAATGGATTTATTGGAAAATGGATAAAAAGCTGTGTGAATCTTGTGTGAAAACATTTACAAATAGATCCCATTGTGCTTTGTTAACTACCACAGGAAAAATGTTATTGTAGAAAACAAAGAAGAGAATAGCGCTCTGTCTGCTATGAGTAGCAAGGATATAGAATGGCACTGAGAGGCCAAAGACAGCTATAGCCAGCAGTAAGAAGAATACGTCAGAATGATAGAATGTGATTAAGGAGGAAGTCAGGATCGAGTGTGGTGGAGTCTTCCTTACCTCTATACGTCCTTCAACATGTGGTGCCGCTGGCCAATTTTACCTACCTAAACCCAAGGGCTGCAACTCACATTTGTTTTTATTTTAAGACGCCTTCTTGTGTTTCTGGTTTAGGCTGATTGGTGCTGCCAAAACAAAGATGGCTGCCCAAAGTTTCTGTCTTTGCATTTGGGTCATTGGGACTGTTATCAAACTGTAATGCCACCGGCCAGGTTTTAACCACCCATACCTCAAGGTTCTAATTTGTTTTGAGAAAAGTTGCAGATGGGGGGGGGGGGGTGAGTTGGCATTGCTCTGGTGTGTGTTTTTTTTTTTTTGGTGCATGTGGTTTTTATTATCCCTCCGAATTAGAACTCTTTATTGAATAAGGCCTTTTGTCTCATAAACAGATTTAAAGGGCAATTGTAAACTTTCATCTCAACATGTTTCTTGGCTGTTCCAATTCTCTTGGTGTCCTTGAAGCTTTTGTGCTCGGGTGTTCACTTGTGTCTGATGTCCTGAGAAACCCATTAAATGCAGATCAGCAGCTTCCCATTGAACTCAATGGTACGGTATGGATGGCAGTTTTTTGAAGCTACCTTAGATCTGTTTTGAATTGTGTTCCTTAAAGTCAGCAAGTTCTACTGGAGATGAATTTTCATTGAAGCCTTTGTGTTTGAATGCAGAGATTTGATCTTTGTTAGGTTTGAATGTATGCAATAAACAGCAATGTCCATATATACAAGCTTTTGTTTATAAAAAGTGTGCTAAAGAAAATCCCACCAATCCCATCTTCTTTTCACTAAAATAATCCATATTACAGTGAGGAAGCTTTCATTTAAAGAAAGGTGAACAGCACAGACATCTGTCTCATGACCAGTTCCCATTATACTGAGTAGACAGCTGGAGCCATCTTCAGCAGCTTTGTCACAGGGCTTTACACCAGACTACATACCTTCGTCTCTTTGACTTACCTCTTATGTACATGAGCAAGGCTGTCGAGGGTTTTCAGAAAGAGGGAGAAGCTTCAGTCACAGAATACCAGGATCACAGTTTTCATTCTCAGATTCAGGATGAACAGAAGGATTTCATTAAAAGCAGAAAATCTTGATTTCAATAACTGGGCTGCTTGGCCAAACTTTGAAAAACGTTTTACTTTTATTTGTTCTTTGGGGGGTTGTTCAGGGTAGTTTATTTTCTTTCCTTTAGTGTTCCTTATATTTGTGTTTTTTTTCAGTTTTGTGTATTCATTCATTATTCCTATGTTGGTGCTTATAATGGTTTTATTTGATATTTTCCCGTCTGTGATTTCTTTCTATAAAAAGAACACTTCAAATTACAACAATAACAATGGTCTATTTGTACCGGCACAACATCAGATCTCCAATAACTAAAAGGAGCTCAAGTAAACCTCAGGCCATTTTTGGAGGACATGCTACCCTCAGAAGCCACTTTCATTTCACCTTCCTTTTGATTCTAATGTATTTTGACATATTGTTAAAATCGTCTGATTTTTTGTTTTCTGAAATTTTGGGAAAATGAAAACTCTCACGTTTTTTCATCATCCCTGATTCAGAGCATTTCTAAGCAGATGGAACTGCAAGGATTTGGCTGGTAAGGCAATTATAAATGATGGATTCTGGAACAGGAATTAGGGACAATCATCAGGTAAGTCCTGGATTTTCTAGTCCTACTTCTATTAGACAAACCTGTAAGCTGAACATTTTCTGGTAAAGGTTAGAAAGTAAAAAAAAAAGTTTAATGCCGTAGACAAAGGTGTTGTTTTACTAAAACTGGGGGGTGCAAAATCTGGTGCAGCTCTTCATAGGAACCAAACTGCTTCCAGGTTTATTGTGAAAGCTTAACAGAACAAGCTGAAGTTAGAAGCTGATTGGCTCCCATGTACAGCTGCACCAGATTTTGCACTCTCCAATTTTAGTAAATTAATCCCAAAGTATTATCATGATCTCAGCAATCTTTGATCCACATGCCCTAAAATCCAGATATCTCACAGGGACCACAGGGGACAGGAGGACACAGACCCCAAGTTACTCCCATGACAATTACTAATGCATGTTGAAGCCTGAGACCAAGAAATCCTAAGAATGAAGCCTAGATTCCACCTCCATGTCCTGCCCGACCTATAGACAAATGATGGCTGAACAGGAGCTGTCCTGTGCCTTGAACATGCCCTTGGGACTGTGCTGCTGCCCCATCTCTCATCTGCTGTGTCCACCAGACAGTGAATGACAGATCGTTGTACCGCGACAGCCCCGGTACAATGTGATTGCTGTAAGCAATCGCAGCAATCACATGACAGCTGTACACAAATATATAAACTAAAATGGTGCGCTGTCTCTTTAAATGCACCACACTAACTGTGCAATTGTGTGCCAAACCAAAGTGCTACTGTGCCATGAGGTGATATCAATTTATGTCACAAAAGCACTTTGGGTTGGCACATATTTAGTGTGTTTGCATTTAAAGACACAGTGCACCATTTTTGTTTATTAGTCTGCATTTATCTTGTATTTGGATATAGAGGTAGCTGCAGTCTAGATTTGCAACAGGCACCATGCACAGGTTGTTTTTGTTTTTTATTGTAGACAATGAATGGCTTTCATTCGTAGTCATTCATTGTGAGCTATTTTGATGATCTCTGTTACTGGTCACAGTGGTCACATTGTACACACAGGGCATCTGTACCATGTGATAATGTGACAGCTGTGGCCAATCACAGCTATCACAATAGTACACACTGGCAATGAATGGATGTCCTTCATAAAGATGATTGCTTATAACAGTGATCTGTTATAAGCAATTATAGTGTAAAAAAAAAATCTTGATTACTTCCCCCCGATCAGTACAGGGTCACTATGGTAGCACTGCACTGCTCTGGTGACAACATGTATAAAAATTTTGAAAAAATGTATTTATACATTTCCAAAAAAATTTAAAAAAAAAAATGAAACTTCAAAAAGCTCACCATGCCTCTTACTAAATACCCTGGACTGTCTACTTTCCAAAAAAGGGTAATTTGGGGGGATTTGTACTATCCTGACATTTGGGGGGTATTTGGGCTGTCCTGACATTTAGGGGGTATTTGTGCTGTCCTGACATTTGGGGGGTATTTGTACTGTCCTGACATTTGGGGGGTATTTATACTGTCCTGACATTTGGGTGGTATTTGTACTGTCCTGAAATTTGGGGGTGTTTGTACTGTCCTGACATTTGGGGGGATTTGTACTGTACTGACATTTGGGGGGGTATTTGGGCTGTCCTGACATTTGGGGGTGTTTGTACTGTCCTGATATTTGGGGGTGTTTTTGTACTCTCCTGACATTTGGGGAGGATTTGTACTCTCCTGACATTTGGGGGGGATTTTTACAGTCCTGACATTCAGGACATATTTGTACTGTCCTGGCATTTGGGGTATTTTATTGTCCTGGCATTTGGGGGGTATTTGTACTGTCCTGATATTTTCAGGCCTCAAGTAAGGAGATTGTCAGTACATCAAGACTGATCAGTTTTCAGATATATATCCCATGGCTTGTAGACTCTAAACTTTCATACAGAATAATAATAATAATATACTGGGCCAGTGCTAAACTATTTTGCACCCCCCCCCAAAAAAAAGGCAAGACCAGCTACTTGTACCCCCCCAAAAAAAGATAAAGCTTCAAATGTTTTTTAAATACCAGCAACATCGGTGGCAGCCATCATCAGAGTAAGTGCAGTATTAAATGACCAAATTAATAAGCAAGCGATGTTGTTAAACACTCACAAGAAAGAATTAAAATGTCACTTCTCATTGACAATGGTCACTGACAGCCCTTCCCATCCTAAGAATCAGCCGGAGTGGGTCTGGAGCTGTGGATGGAGTGAGAGTTCCCAGGATGCTGCTGGATGACTGTAAGTGCCTGAGGTGGCTTGGAACGCACACGAGGTGGAAGTGACGTCATAGGGGGAAGGTTCTTGGTGCCTTGGAGGACAGACTTTGCGCTCAGGGCTCTCTGCCTCCTTCTAGAGTCCTGGAAGCACACTGTTGTATTCCACCACCTAAGGGCACAGCAGCGGCTAGCGGACTACAAATACCAGCATTATATTTTGTGCAACAATTAAATTAAATAAGTAGAAAAGCAAAGTGAACATAAATCCAAAGGTAAAAAACACTCTGTGTGACACAATTCTCAGCAAGCAGGAAAGTAGGGAAACCAGCGGCCATGGCTGCGCCCGAGACAGCAGTGCGCCCTAGGCAGCTGCCTAGTTCACCTAGTGGTAGCACTGGCCCTGATAATAAAACATTTGGATTGTG